ATTGCTCATTTGCAAATGTGGTTTGGTATTTTGGGAGAGCTTAATATAGCCTTGATTCCAGAGAAGGATCAGGGAAGATTTTTTTTTTAATGTTCTTGATGGATATAGAGCACATTTTTCATTTGTAGAAAACTGGATGCCCACTGAATAGTTGCAACATTGCTAAGCGTTAGTATTTTTTTTTTCTCCTCCCACTCTTCATCTGCCTGAATGGATGATGAATATTCAGTTTAAGAAAAGAAAAAAAAAAGAAAAAATACCATTTCCCTTTCTTCTCCTTTCTTTTTTCGTTTGTATAATGGAAAGGAAAAAGGGACACAGTGGCTCAGTGGCTAAGAAGCTGAGCATGTCGATCAGAAAGGTCGACAGTTTGGCGGCTCGAATCCCCAGCGCCGCTTAATGGAGGGAATTCCCGTTACTTGTCCCAGCTTCTGCCAACCTAGCAGTTCGAAAGCACATCAAAAATGCAAGTAGAAAAATAGGAACCACCTTTGATGGGAAGGTAGCAGCGTTCTGTGTGCCTTTGGCGTTTAGTCATGCTGGCCACATGACCACGGAGGCGTCTTCGGATAGCGCTGGCTCTTCGGCTTTGAAATGGAGATTAGCACCGCCCCCTAGAGTCGGGAACGACTAGCACATACTGTATGCGCGAGGGGAACCTTTACCTTCACCTAATGGGAAGGAATATATAAAATTATTAGTTAAGCATTGCATCGAGCAGTTCTATATTGCAGTGTCTGGTTACTCCAAACGTAAAATAATTAAGTAATATATAGGTAATCCTTGATTTATAACAGTTCATTGAGTGACAGTTCAAAGTTATAATGGCACTGAAGAAGAGGTTACTTACAACTGGTGCTAACTCTTAATGATCGTAGCATCTCCAAGCTCACGTGATCAAAATTTGAGCTTTTGGCAGCTGTCATCTATATACGATGATTGCAGCGTCCAAATATCATGTGACTGCCACCTGGTCACATGATCTTTGTGACCAGGTGGTTTCTGACCAGTAAATGGGGAAAGATGGATTTGCAACACAACAATTCACTTAATAACTGTGACAAAAAAGGTCATAAAATCAGGTGTAACTCAGTTAACCCCCTTTCTCAGCCACAAAAATTCTGGTCCTAATTGAGGTGGTATGTTAAGGATTACCTGTACCTGGGTTGCAGTTTCATTTAAAATTAATCTTCAGTGTATCATGATGAAGATTAGCATCCTGTTTTTCTGCTGTTTTGAAGCAGGAAATAGTCCTAAAAAATGTAGTTTTAAGGTGGCGAGGTGGCGCAGTGGTTAGGGTGCAGTACTGCAGGCCACTTCAGCTGACTGTTATCTGCAGTTCAGTGGTTCTAATCTCACCGGTTCAAGGTTGATTCAGCCTTCCATCCTTCCGAGGTGGGTGAAATGAGGACCCAGA